AAATTTCCCCCCCCCAACAAAAAAAAAAAAAAAAAAAAAAAAAAATCGGAAAATAGCACACCCTCTACGCCACCCCATAAATAAGAACATTAGAGGGGTATGAAGAGAGAGTGGAGAAGCTTGTGACTTTGCGAGATGCTGAATAAAACAGTGAAAAAATATTTTAAAAAATGACGCTAAAACTCGGTATGATCTCGAACTTGAAGCCAACAAAGTAAAAAGCCTCAAACTTTGAAAGAAGAGAAACGATTCTGTTTTGTTTTTGGTTGGCAAAAGGAAAAACTCAGAAAAATGATGCAGAAGAAAAAGTGAAAATTTACCTGTTACGGGGTTTAAGAATTATTGGGTATCTGTTTGTTGCCGCAAATTGCAGTGAAGAAGACGAACCAGAATTGAGCAAAGAATGAGAGAGAGAATAAGTGTTATCGTTTTAACGTTTGTTGAGAAAATAGGGAAAAATGGAATGTTGTGGGAGTAGTTTCTTATAGACTTGAATTCTTGTCTCTTCCCTGTAGGCCCCATGACTTGATTGTTACATATTCATTAAGTTTGTTAGGTTTGTTGATGTTTATTTCTTCTGTTTTTTTTAATATATTTTTTTTTTTATCTTTAACAATCAAATTATATATTTTTCTATTTTTCAAATAAAATTTGTTAATACTTTAAAATTATGATAATAATTATATTTATATTATTTTAAAATAAATTAAAATATTTAATATTTTAATATATACAATATACAAATATGTTTATTATATATAATAAAAATTTATAATGAGTTATATACATAAATTAATATTATCTTTAAATATATAAATTATATTTAAATTTGTATAAATAAATATTTTTAAATATATAAATTATATTTTAAATTTAGAATAAATAATTTATATGATACAATTTTATTTATTTGTTAATAATTTATTTTAAGATATTATTTAATTCATAATTAATTATGATAAATAAAACACAATCAGATAAGAAATTAAAGAAAAAATTACAAATTTTCTCATCAAATAAAAAGTTTTAAAAATATTGTCATATAAGATATCATGTTTCGTTCATTTTTTAAAATAAGAATATCTTTAACTTTTTTTAATGATAATATATATAAGATTTTTTTTAAACTTCTTATCTCTTATTTTATTGTTTTTATATTATTCTTAAAGTTAATCTTAATATTTTTAAAAATATATTATCAACAATTAAAAATAATTTTATATCACAAAAAAATTTATTTATCATAAATTTTAAATCTTAAATCTAAACTATTAATTATATTTTATATTTATGATAAAAAAAATTACATTATAAATATTATTTTAATTATTAATAATTTATTTTAAAATGTTATAATTAAATTTATAAATAAATATGATAAATAGAAATTAAAAAGAAGAAGTTAAAACATTAAAAATCCTCTCATTAAACCAAATGCCTAATTGTAAAAAAATAAAAATAAAAATAAAAGTTGAATACCTTAAAACGTTTTCGTTCACTAAAACTTCTCTCGCATAAAACAATTATTATTATTTTATTTTGTGCAATATGCATACATGTTTATTGTTATATAATAAAAATTATAATAAATTGTAATTAATTTTTTAAAGATATTAATATTTAATTTATAAATAATTATGATAAATAAAAATCAAATTAAATAAAAAAATTGAAAAAATCCTAAAAATTCTCTCATCAAAGAAAAATCCTTAAAAATATTTTCACATAAGATAAATATTCGTATTTAATATATAAGTGTTGATTATAAAAAAAGATAAAGGAGTGAGAGGGAGAGAGAGAGGAAGAATGAGAAAGAGAGTAACAGAGATACTTTGAAAAGATGTACTCTAACTATATATATATATATATATATATATATATATATATATCTGCTTTTATATGTAGCTTGGCCTCTTAATAATTTGTTAGAGTTACAAAAAAGAAAGGTATTGATCCATGGTCACTGGCAGGCATT